CGATAGAGCTTGCTCACTGTGAGAAATGTCTTGCGACCAAACCTGCGAACTTGGAGAATCGGAATCTGTTTGCGATGGAGATGAAACATGTGAACTGGAATATTCTGCATGCAACGAAGCTGACATACTGGGAGAAGAGGTTTGCCGTTGAGATGAATCCTGCGAACTCATCTAATCTGATAGCGACGAAACTGGCGACTGCAAGCTGGGAGCTTTGATGTGCAACACCGTCTGTGAACAGGGAGAAGCAATTCACGACTGCGAAGTGGGCGACTCTGATAGCGCAGAACCTACGAATGGTGAGAATCACCCAGCGACGAACTCCGTTATTCAGATTGCCGATAACGCCTAGGGTTCCTCGATTGGCCTCAGCGACGATGTTGACGCCCACAGTGACAATCTCGTCCAGCCTCTTGTCCAGCACAGCTTTCATCTCCTTCATCTCGTCCATACTCTTCTCCATTCGCGGTGACATATAGAATTCCTCCTCCATCATTCCAGCTCGTTGATGCTCTGGGATGATCGTTGGTGCTCTGGTGATGATCCAATTTAGTCTCTGTCTCTAGGAGCGAGACTCCTCTGATACCAATGATAGGACTGTCTCCAAATAACCGTATAACAGTATATTAATGAGGAACCTGTGCGAATAATATTGGCAGAAAACAAGGAAAACAGAAAAGTGACGGGACTGTTTCGAGAGCGTCCCCCTCTCCCAAGCAACTATCCAATTTCTGCCTATTTTCCTTCTTCCCCCCTTCCCACTTTTATAGTAATTATATTCATAACAGCCGGCCCATATTTTCTGTCATGGCTCAAAACCCTTATTTATACAATACCACACTACTTAGTATAATTTTATTGTTATTATTAACTTTAGTCTAGGTTCCTATCATAAAGTTGACTGATCTTTGTCAATAATAAGATTATTTTTAGTAAATAAAATTTACATAATCAGAAACTACATTAAAAGTTTTATAAAGTTGCAAAAAACTCAAATTTGATAAAAGTTGGAAATATAAAGTAAAAGATTAAGAACAATTTATGTTGACCAGAGAATAGAGGACGAGAACCTTTATATGAGACGGAAGTATTATATCTTATCTCTATTTTATCTTATCTTTTTATCATACCTTATTTTTATCTTTCTTTTCCTTTTGGCTCCGACATCATGAATCGATTCATGTTAGCCAACCCCAAAATCTTTTGGGACTAAGGCTTGAATGTTGTTGTTGTTGTGTAGAGTTTTGTACATTTGCAGCTTGTAATTTTGTACATTAATGTTGTGATTGCTTGTTTTGTGGTTCATAATCTGTTTAGAAAGTATAACATTCAAGATGACTTATTCAATGAATGAGACGATGACTCTATAGTCAACAATCAAGCACAAGAGGAAGACAAAGAAATTGGAGAAGATGTAGATAGAGCACAATGGGTACACAAAGTCTACGGTATATGATGAATTTGCGGGTTGAAATTGCTAATACATTAGTAGGAAATGTTTAAATTTAAAATATTGTTGTAATGTGATTTCTTATCATGTAATGTGGTTTCTTGTATTTAAGTAATTTATGGTATAATGGTTTTGAGGCATTCGAAAATATCTTTTAGAACAAGGAAAGTGAACAGGCAAGAATGCAAGATACATTCAGCAGGCAAGATACATTCGGCACTTGTCCCAGATAGGAGGTTTATTTGGTCATTTAACATAACCCAAAATTCTCATTCAGCACACACTCATCAAAGTTCGCTTAATTAGACATATTAATCAATTTAGGACTTAATGAGAAAAAGTAAACAGTCCCTTAATTAGCTAAATAAAAAAGGGCTAACTAATCATAGGCCCCTCAAAATTAGAGGACTCTGCAGGCCCATTAGAATGAATCTTTCAACTTTCAAGACCCAACTGATATAGATGCATTCTGGGTCGTTCCTATCAGTGATGCCAGTTGCACCGAAAGAGCACGGGCGCACGGCCATGCACAAGAGGCCCAAGTAGAACATGAGGAGACCGAAAGTTGCTAAACTTGGGTGGCAAGACTATTTCTGTTTCAGTTTTAATTAGTTTCTTATCACCATTATGTACCTATTTAGAACATGGCTGTTATGATAGTTACATAGGAGACCCTGTTATTGGTCAATAAAGCCCTTTTGGAAAAATCAATTCTTTAGTAATTTCCCTAAAAAGAACTATAACTAAATCAAAGTACACTAACAGGACTAAGGATGTGTTTACTTCACTGCTAAAGTCACAGTTAGGTTTAGTAATAGTTAGGTTTAGTAATACAGGTGAAGTAAACACACAAACTGCTTAAAAAGTTGCTTACTAACCCAAAAATGTGCTTAAAGTGCCACTTACTAAGCATATCACCCCATGTATTAATTAAGCGACAGTTTAAGCTTTTTCAATTTCTGCATTTACCCTTACCCCTTGCCATTACCCCCACCCTACCCTAACTCTACCCTATCCCCCGCCCCTAAACCTAACCCTACCCCCGCACCCCCTACCTGTACTCGTACCCCTACCCCTACCCCGACCCTATCCCCTAGCCCCTTACCACCCCTACCCCGAATACCCCACCTCCACCCCTTACCCCTTACCCCTGCCCCAACCCCAACCCAACCCTAACCTACCCTACCCTCGACCCCTTACGCCTTCTTTCTCCAAACTTTTTCTTTTAAGATATCATATATTTCTTCACTGATTTTGTTGTTTTTGGTAGACCTTTTTTTATTTCATTAAATTTTCTGAATTCTGGCATTGATTTTTTTTATTTTTAAAAATTGGCTTCATGTTTCTGGTTTCTGATTTAATTAAATTTCTTATTTCATTGAAAATTTTGGCTTTATTATTATGGGATACTGGCTTCATATTTTACCTAACTTGTGACAGTTACATGTAATACTAACAATTATGTTATGGCAGTTTTTAAATTTTTTACATCAATTTGAAAATACTGCCAACTTTATGGCAGATTTGACAATCATATTATAGCAAAAAAGACTCTTGTTTTCTTCAACAAACTGCTATGTTTATTGATACAAATTGCCAATGTTATTATCATTTTTTGTTCAAGATAGCAAACTTATTTCCTTTTTTGTGTTTTTAATAAAATGACTTTTTATACAGTGAGATGACAGTTTTGGATGTTCAAATCAGTGGCAATCACATACTGGTGCCCAGAGTGGCAGTGGCAGTGGCAGTGCAGAGCTAATGGTTTTGCTACGAGTGATGGCAGCACCATTACAGTCGACAGTGGTTGAAGCTAAGGTCTAGAAATCTTTTTTTATTTTTGTATTTTTAATTATAAATAGACTTAGAATTTCATTAAAGATAATTTTGGGATTTATTCCTACGAAACATGGAAGTCTTATTTGTGCACTTTTTCATTGTTTAAGTCCTGTTTAGGGAATTAACTTTTTTTCTTGAATGTCTTGACTAGGTTGGACACCGGGTTTATAATTTCATTAAAGCCTTGTAAATTTGTGATTTTCATTTTTCTCTTTGTACTCCGAAAATTGATCCAACCGCCGGGGAATCAGATAAGACAGAAGCCCGTGGTGTTGGTGAAAGTGTTCAAATTGCAAAGAATGTGCATGCTAAACGAGCAACACAGGCATTGTCAAGGCTGAGTGGTCTAGATACTGGTGAAAATATAACTCCATATAACGAGGCTGCAGCTATTTGGAGAACCCCGAGGTACTCTGTACATCGCATGACTCCATTTATTGTCCAAAATGGATTTTCTTCAATCATAAATTATGATGGAATAAAGCAAAATGACTCACTAAACTGTTTGCGCTTATTTGTTAAGCAGCAGTCAGTCCATGCAATTTTCGACGCGATTTTCACTATGGGTCATCCGGAAACAATCTCTTTGTGCTTTAGTACAAGGGTAAGACTAGGTACATTCAACCCCCCTTACCCCACCGTAGGTGGAAGCCTTTGCAGCACTGGGTAATGATGATGATCTGATGATGACGACGATGACGATGACTCCGAAAATTGATCTATCACTTTGCCCTAGTTTGCTTCCATTCTCTCATTTTTTACCTTGGATGAGATCTTGTCCATGCGCTCTTACCACCAACACAGAATAATTTGGAAGATTTTCCATAAAAGTACACGCAGTTTGATGTCAACATGTTCCTTCCTTCTTAATTCTGCCAAAATTAGTGGTTTTACTGTGATATACACTTATTCTTCATTAAGGTACAGTACATATTCCCACTCACCAAATAGAGCATCTTTAAGTAATTCATTGTCTTAAATTCATTTCCATACTTCATATTTGTAATCCCAAAACTCTTGTTCACTTTCTTTAAAAGAATACTAAATCATTACATTTTTCCTGCAATACCCTTCTAAATGAAGTTAAAAGTAAAACTCATCTACTCACCTAGTCACCTCATACAAATAAAAGAGTTGTGTTTCAAAAGCTTCTTGTTTTTCTTGAAAAAAAACAGAGAGATTTCAAGCTGATCAAACGAATCTATTTGTATTGTCATTTGTAAGAAAAGAGTTACAAACTTACAAACATGTTAAACATGAGAAGTCTAGTTGACCCAACAAAAAAATCAAAATAACAAAACAAGTAGGACTTTAAGACTTTAGAATTGTACCTTGGCAGAATCAAATAATTGTACCTTGACCAAACATGACTTTGTTAGTGTGGGGGTGCTCTTAAATGAGCCAAGAGAAGCTGAAGTTCAAGATTGCAGATTTTTTTCTAATGGGAAATCTGGAAAGATATGTAATTGCTTTCCCTGTTTGTTGGCTAGTAATACCAGGAAGTCGGGAACTATAGGACAACATGAAGGAGAATGCGATATAGATCTTAAGTACTCTTAACTGTATAATGTTTTTAATAGAGTTAAATGATGTTCATTCTGCACAAGGGTGATTCATGGATGTTTATACTTTATTCCCAGTTCCTGATAAAATTGAGTTCTTATAAGCAAACAATCATTGATAATCAAATGAGAAGTAAAGGAAAATCTACCTTGCTGCAATTTCAGGAGAATAAGATACATATGCTGAAAGAACACCTATACTGCCAACGCCTAGGGTGAGCAGCTGCAGCTTGTTTTTCAACTGCAGTAAAGCATAAATATAATTATTACAATCAGATGGATAATTGGGGATAAAAAAATATTAGAGACCCCCCAAGAAAAGAAAATGTTCAGGCTATACCTTGAGATACTCCTCAATAGACTGAGCGGCCATTACTTTGGGGTCCCCATTTGGACGCCTCAATTCTCTGAGCATCACATCCTGGGACATAGGAAAATTATAGTCTCAAAAGGGTATAGAATTAATAAGTTTTAACAGTACAGATAAAATGAAGCAAGACAGCATACACTGCCGCCTATTGCTGCCTTAGTAGCTTTGCCCCACTTCTCTTGCTCATGACTTGTTGGTGTTGGTCTCCATCTGTGGTACGTGTGATTGCCATTCTGCAAATCCTTTCAATTTAGAGAAGCAATTAATTATGTAAACCCCAAAGACGGAACTTCAAAGAATGGTGGGAATCATACTTGAGTTTCCTGAGCTCTTTCTCCTAGCAATGATTTTGAAGGTGATGTCAGCAGCTCCTTGCTCAAGTCCACTTCCAAGCTTTTTTAAAAGTTCAATGCTATTGGCATGAGAATAAATAATGACACACTAAGGGCCAATTTGCATGAGTGGGGTGTTTTAGAGGGCCAAGTCTATAAGTTCATATGAATTTAAGATTTTATAAACTGCCAGGAAAATATTGTTGGTGATCATATAATATTTTAAATAAATAACACTTTGTTTTTTGGAATCCATCATTTGCAATGGAGCAAAAGACTCTCTAATTTTTGGCTTGGGAATATGATGGAATATACCAAAATGGTTCACTAAACTGTCTGCGCTTCTTTGTTATGAAGCAGCAGTTAGTCCATGCAATTTTTGACGCGATTTTCCCCCTTACCCCTTCGTAGGTGGGAGCCTTTGCGGCACTGGGGTGATGATGATGATGAACACTTCATTTTTTGGAAATATTTAATTATCAAGACATAGGGTAAGCCTTCCAAACCTTCTCTAATCCAAACCAACTCTAAAGAAAAAGAGGAAAAAATGTCCATACCTGTCAAGGTTCAAAACACGATTTATGCTTAGAAATCCAGATGTATCTTCCTGTTTGGGACCAAAACCAAACTATATGAGCATACAAGCTTTAAGGAGAATAAACACAAAACAAAACAATAAGGCCGTAGTAGTTTGTTGCCACATATAATACATTGCATTGTTAAGCATACAGCTTCTTCACATATATTTATTTATTTATATATATATGAGTGCATTGTTAAGCATTATTTGTATCCTTTTTATTTTATCATCTTTATGTATATTCATCTCTTTTTATATTATCTTTTTATAATAGCTTATCTTTTTTATCTTTGTTTTCTTTCTTTTCCTTTTGGTGGTGATATCATGTATAGCCGACCCCAATATCTTTTGGGACTAAGGCTTGAATGTTGTTGTTGTTGTATTTATATATGAGTGTGTGTTACTAACTATTAACCGATTAACAAAAGATCATACTAGAAGTTTAGAGAACATATTCTTATAAGTTGACTCGGCTAAACTATACACGTAAGCTAGGTGATTATTGAGCTAGATATGCTTCACAATCCCCCTCAAGTTGAACTTGGTTAGTATAAACGAGTCCTAACTTGGAAATGAATGTTGATGATGCTTAACGCCCAATGTTTTGGTCAAGACATCAGCAATTTGGGAACCAGCGTGAAAAAGATATGGTGTTAAAAATCCTTCTTAAAATCTCTTTCTTATAAAATGATAGTCAAAACGTGCATGTTTAGTCTTGTCATGGAACACTGGATTTTCAACTATGTGAAGAGCAGCCATATTGTCACAATATAAACGAATAGGTTTAGGGATATTTACGTGTAGCTTGGTGAATAAACTATTAAGGATAGTTTTTGAAGACCGTTTTTGAACAGTGCATATTTACCATTTTTATACTCCATCAAAACTTCAAACTGCTAACATTCTTACGAAAGCTCTATTGAGGACCGTTTTTGAAGAATTGGGATGTTTTCTTTTGGACTGAAATTTGTTGGTGTGGTCCGGTCTTTGTGTATTTTATAACTATGGAAGTCTGGTCTGGTCTGGTCTGATCAGATAAGGAACTGAAAACCGTCCAAAAGAAAAGATTATCAAGCTTGGGATGTTTGACATCCAATGCCCAGCTTGAGGGGGGAGTGGATTTATTTCCTAATTTAGAGAATAGATATTGCTGAACTTTAAATCTGATTTGTTATTAATACCAGATATCGTGTATTTTATTCTTTCTAGAAATAGGATATTCTATTGTTTGAATTAGCTGATTGTATATTTAATCTCTTAGATTCTCTCCCCAATAGGTTGTATAAATATCCTGTCATTTTGAGATTAAAAAAACATCACAAATATTCAGATATTCACAACATCTCTAAGACGGTTAACTTAATATGAATGAAGAGACACAAGAGAAAATTTTAATATTTTTCGTAAAAAAAAAATACATTTTCAGAAAATACATTAAAAGTTTTATAAATTTGTAAAAAAAATCAAATTTGATAAAAGTTGGATATACGAAGTAAAACTAATTGAGGTAATTGTTGGTCCTCCACACAAATTATGAGATACGAGTATAAATTAGGTTTTCCTGAGAATTTATTTTGAAAAGGCAAAAGATCAGACCTTTGAACCAATAGCAGGAGCATTACAACCATTTTCAGAAGGGTCCTGAATGAAGTTCTTCATATGGCCCATGAATTCTTTGTTCCATATGAAATCATCAGATGTGAGAGGGTCCTCATCGACGCCCCAGAACTTCCTGCGCTTGGTGGTGGTGGTGGTGGACGGGGGCAATTTCTCCGACTTCTTAGGCAGTATAATCTTAGGCTGCTTTTGCTCTAGCGCTGGCTGAGATATGGGTGTAGTAACGGCGGTCACCGACAGGTAGCAATTCAGTGCAGCCATTCTCTGTGCTCGTACAGTCGTACAAGTAGATGCAGGCGTGTTCTAGTGGACGAGTTCGGTTTTGGAGTTAAATTTTGTGAATGGTGGTAAAATCAAATTTAAGAGATAGATATAGATAAAAACTTCTAAATTATTTTTCTTAATATTTGAATATTTTCTGAGTTTTTGAGTTACATTACAAAGGTTTGATCAAACCATATTTATACTAGTTGGGCTTGATGATGAATCATCAAAGACTACTTCTACATATTTTGTTGGCACTATTAAACCTAGTCATCTGTCTATCTATGATTACAAGGATGGAAAGAAGCTTAGTGTTCTGTTTACAAGGATGATGACAAGGATGAACAATTCAAACTTGTCATTTCCTGGGTTTTACAACACTCCCCCTTGAATGTTCATCCTTGAGAATAGTTATTTGTATTTAAAAATTTATTGTGAAGATTACTGTGAAAATTAAGGGGTAAAATTATGACTTATAATGGCATTGTATTTGGACGTACTGTCTCGTTAAAAACCTTATCAGGAAAAACCTAGTGAGATAAAAACCTGATGAAGGAAAAAAGAGTGCAGTGCATTCAAATACTCCCCCTGAATTTAGCTTAAATTATGAAGGCGGCGCATGCCGATTTTCTGTACAAGTTCTATGAACTTATTCGGAAGTAATGACTTGGTGAAGAGATCAAACGGATTTCCACTGGATCTGATTTGTTGAAGGTTGATCGTCCCTTCTTTCTCCAGATCATGAGTAGAGAAGAACTTTGGTGATATGTGTTTCGTTCTGTCTCCTTTGATGTAGACTTCTTTAATCTGAGCTATGCACGCAGTGTTGTCTTCGTAGATCACAGTCGGGTGACAAGTAATAGGCTTCATACCGCATTCATTTTGGATGTGTTGAATCATAGACCGTAGCAACACACATTTTCTTCCGGTTTCATATAATGCAATTAACTCTGAATGATTTGATGATGTAGATGTCAATGTCTGCTTCATAGATCTCCATGAGATTGCGGTGTTACCATAAGTAAATACGTACCCGGTTTGTGATTTCACCCTTTGAGGATCTGATTAGTATTCAGCGTCTGCATATCCGATTAAAGTGGCTTTTGCATCTTTGTGGTAGAATAGGCCGAGATCAACTGTACCATGGAGATAACGGAATATGTGTTTGATCCCGTTCCAATGACGTCTCATTGGAAATGAATTGTACTTGGCTAATAAATTTACAGAAAATGCAATATGTGGTCTAGTATTATTAGCTAAATACATCAATGCTCCAATAGCACTCAGATGTGGTACTTCGGGGCCTAGTATTTCTTCATTGTCTTCTCGGGGACGGAATGGATCATCATGTATGTTGAGAGATCTAATTAACATTGGTGAAGTCAACATTGGATCCTCTCCAGTAACTGGATACTTCCAGTTGGAGAGAGATAGAGAGAAGGGAAATTATTGTGGGGTATGTTGATGAGTAAGATAGAGAAAAAGGTAGTGATAGATAGGAAGAAAAAAGGAAATGGAGGGGGAATGGAGAGAAAAAAATGGAGAGGAGTTGGACTCGTAGTAACGGCAGTCACCGACAGGTAACAATTCAGTGCAGCCATTCTTTGTATTCGTACATGTAGATGCAGGCGTGTTCTAGTGGACGAGTTCGGTTTTGGAGTTACATTTTGTTAGGGATTTTTTATCACTACCCTCTCAAAAAAGGAAGTAATAATAATAATAATAATAATGATGATGATGATGATGATGATGATGATGATGATGATGATAATTGGTAAAATATGAAGTGTTTTTCGGAATAATGCTAATTAAATAAATTATTCCCGAAATACTGTCGGGTTAAGAATAATTCCCAAAATACTGCTGGAATTAACCACGGTTAAGGAAAGCCGTCACTCCAAGTGGCGGCTCTTGTATTACTTTACAAAATCCGCCACTCCGAGTGGCGGCTCTTCTCTTATAGTATAAAAGCCGCCACTTCAAGTGGCGGCTCTTCTCTTACGTCCCATTTTGTAAATATATAAAACGCATTATGTTTCAAGAATTTGTTTAATTGTCTTCCCGATTGAATTTTGAGCTAAATTTGGTATTCATAAACTAGACTTGATGAGGAACATGCTCAAAAAATTTCATCAAAAAATTCCACCGAAAACACCCTCTGATGGTGTTGTCCGCGGGGGGTTCCGGTCAGGACTTCATGACAAAAGGGTGGTTCGGCCACCTCAATTTGAGGTGATTCTCGGTGGGACGTTTTTCTGAATTTGTTTGTGTATGTTATTCATCAAGTCTAGTTAATCCATAACAAATTTCAGAACCAATCTCAATCGGGAAAGCAGTCAAATGATTTTTTAAAGATAACTGTGTTTTATATGTATAATCCGGCGTAGTTGTCTTTAAAAAATCATTTGACGGCCTTTCGGATTGAATGTTTTGCTAAAATTTGGTATGAGTAAACTAGACTTTATTAAGAACATATACAAAAAATTTCAACAAAACATACCACCGGGAACCACCTCAAATTGAGGTGGCCGGACCACCTTTTTGTCATGACGTCCTGACCGGAACCCCCCGCGGACAACACCATCATTGGGTGTTTCCGGTAGAATATTTTGATGAAATTTTTTGAGCATGTTCCTCATCAAGTCTAGTTAATGCATACCAAATTTCAGCTCAAAATTCAATCGGGAAGGCAGTTAAAAAAATTCTTGAAACATAATGCGTTTTATATATGTACAAAATGGAACGTAAGAGAAGAGCCGCCACTCGGAGTGGCGGCTTTTGTGAAGTAATACAAAAACCGCCACTTGGAGTGGCGGCTTTTCTTAACCGTGGTTAATTCCAGCAGTAGTTTGGGAATTATTCTTAACCCGGCAGTATTTCGGGAATAATTTATTGAATTAGCATTATTCCGGAAAAAACTCCAAAATATGCGTAAATAAATTAGTACTCCATATTACAATACAAATGAAAAAATAGTACTCCCTCTGTCTCATTTTGCTTGTCTTACACTACTAAAAAACTGATTTACAGTGACACTTTTATAGTGTCACTTTCTAATATAATACCATTAGTAACGTAGGAGTGTCACTACTTTCCAACAAAAAAATATTACTCACTTACCGGAGCATAGATAGATGGTTACATTCTATTTTTTTGGTTACATCTTCCATCAACAAATGATAAAACATTTTCTGTGTGTCACTGTTGGATAGTACGGAGTGAGTAATATTTTTTTGTTTGGTAGCATTAATTGGATTATTATGCTTATCAGCACAATATGCATAAGAAAGGCCATTTGGAGTTGTGTTTAGAGAAGGAATTGGTTTAGATTCAGACCGTAATGATCACATGAAAGGAACTAACACCATTTCGCTATATCGTGCAAGGAAATGATAAAAATCGTGTTATTTTTGTGTTAGTCCTTCAACAAATATGTATGTCACTTAAGTTTGTTTTGTATCATCACTGTCAAACAATGCTTACATAATGCATTCTAATTACAATTAGAAATATAAGCAGTAGATGACCTATTAACAATTTAAGTTTTGTATGATTCCTACTTCATTCTTACATGAACTACATTTTTTATTCAATTAACTAAGTACCTATTGATTCTTCAAAGGCTTCCATGTTGTTTTGTGTTATTCTTATTATACTGATGTCATTATTTGCTAAATTTACAGCCAAAGCAGACTGATTTTTGAGTGAACCAGCATGTAAATAATGTAAAGTATATTGGCTGTTTGTTGGAGGTAGATACATTGTTCTTTCCTTGAAGTTCATGTAAGAGATAAAAGGGTTTTGTTTAGTGATAGCAAATCAATATAAAATTAGAAACTTTCTGAAAATACAAACAAATAACTAAATAAGCAAATAAAGAAAACATATATTAATAGACTTAACTATAGAACCTGGAGCTCAAGCCTCTCCAGCCTTACATAGGGCACGACTCTGATTGATAAGAGTAAATAAAGTGGTACAAATCATAAGTAAAATATACATGATGTACTTACATAGATGCTCGTAAGTCCATGAAACCGTAAAGAAAAGTTACAAATTATCATCTACAAAAACTCAATCTAGATTGTCTTCTTACTTTCAAAACCTTTGTATACACATGTTCATGTAAAAATAAGAGTTTTATTTGCTGGCCCTAACTTTTAGCTGGCCTATTGGCTGGCCCTAACTTTTATTTGTGGTCTTGACCACTATTGAGCTTAAAAGTGAATAAGAGTTTTTTCCATTTTCAGTACCTCAACTATTGAGTCAGTGACAGTTTTGGTACTTGACTTTCGATTTTTCCATTTTTAGTCCTCAACTATTGTTGACGAGCACTTTATCATAGTGCGCTAAAATAAATTCAATACTTAACACTTATACGTAGTATAACGTAGTAGAGTTCGTATCCACAGGGAAAGGAATAATTCTCTTTTTATGAACTAGTAATTAAAGGGGTGTTTTGGGGTTGAATGATTTAATTTAATTAGAAACTAAGATGAACAACCTATATGTGTTTTAATTCAAATGATAAAAAGAACTTGGCTTTGCTACTTTCCACTTGTTGATGTATTTAGTCGATCCTTGTTATATCTGTAACTTACCCCCTCTCGAATACTCAATCGAGGAGTATATCCAATTCATCGATGGTAGTTATTAACAACGACCGTTCATTAATAACCCTTACTATTAATCAAATATAGAACAACGCCTTATATTGATTTAATAGTAGCATTTAATCTTTCTAACTCCTTGATGAAATCAATTGAGATTGATAACCTAAACACAACGGTTTCGGCTTAACCAACAAAATTAATCCCTCTTGAGTTTATTAACCACGACCGTGCATTAATAAACCGAAGTTACTTACATGTGAACCATCAACGATTAACCATCGGTTCGTTGATCGTTTCTAGTAATAATTAATATTGAGATGTTGACTAATTGTCATCTTACCAACACTCCCCAACATTAATATAGAGATAGATTAAGGGAAGAATTAATATTCAAGGGAATATGTAAGAAAATAACTCACAACTTTAACATTCAACAAGCTTCAAGAGCAAAACCAAGAAATGGAAGTTTAGCTCTTCATTTGGAGACTAAACATGCTAGAAAAATATAAGGAAAATACTATTCTAAGTTGAAC